CACCAAGACTCCCAATAACAAAACAAGCCCTGGCCCAGATAGCTTCACAGAATTGTTAACCAAAATTCAGAGATGAGTTGACAGCGATTCTATTCAAACTATTCCAGAACATAGAAAAAGAAGGACTATTCCCTAATTAATTCTATGAAGCCAGCAGAACCCTGCTATCAAAGCCAGGCAAAGATACCATACGAAAAGCAAACTGCAGACCAATATCCCTCACGAATTCAGATGGAAAAATCCTCAACAAAATTGTAGCTAACAGACTGAAATGCCAGTTCACCAAAAAATATGATATCATCGTCAGGTGGGATTCATACCAGGATGCTTCAACATTACAAAACCAACGCAATTCGCCACAGCAATATGACAAAGGAAAATAATCACATCGTCTCAACTGATGCACAGAAGGCACTGGATAAAATCCAATACTCTTTCCTGATTAAAAACTCACAGCAAACTAGGAATAGAAAGGAAGTTTCTCAGCATATCCAAACAAAAAAATCAGACCCACCACCGCCGAGTCGAATCCCACTTATAGTAACTCTGTGTAAGGTTTCTGAGGCTGCAAATCCTTATGGAGTGAAAAGCCTCATCTTTCTCCCGTTACGTGGCTGGTGGGTTTGAACTGCCACCCTTGTAGTTAGCAATCCAATGCTTATCCTACAGCACCACTAGGGTTCCATATACCCAGTTTAGGGCAAATATAGAAAACCAACAACCAAAATTATTCTCAGAGGGGAGAGATTTAAAGCATTCCTCTTGAGAGCAGGAAGGAGACAAGGATGCCCTCTATGACCACTCCCATTTGTATTGCTCTGGAAGTTCCAGCCAGAGCAGTAAGGTGAGAAAGGGAAAAAACGGTATCCAAACTGGTAAGGAAAAAAACTAGCTCTAAGATGTAAAACTATTTTAAAATGACAATCCTATACACAGAAAATCCCAGAGATTTTACAAGGACATTACTAGAACAGAAGGGTTCAACCAAGTGCTAGGGTACAAGACCAACATAGCAAAGACAGCTGAATTTGTTTACATGAACAAGGAGAAATCCAAAAAGGAAATCTAGAAAATCCTATGAGGCACAGCTCTACTCTGACACACATGGGTCGCTGTGAGTCAGAGCGACAATGGCAACCAGTGGGGTGGAACTCTTTGGAGGTATTTACAGAAGCAGATGGCACAGCTTTTGTAATGGAACGAGAACCTGAGTGCACTCCTGGGAGATGTGACCTCTGAGCGGTTTGAGTCTCAGGACCAATTGTGAAAGCCGTAATCAAGGTCCCTGGAGCCCCTCTGAGCAGAGTTTATTCCAGGGCCATCCCCTGCAATGTCAGCTCCATTCTAGAAACTAAGATGGGGGTCTTTACCATCTACAGGCTCAACAATTTTCTGTAAAGCATCCAAAGTCTTTAGAGGCACCAAGTGCTCCCCTAAGAGCCCTGGTATAGTTCTGTAGGATAAGTACCCCATGATCATGTCCACACTTGCCCCATGGAAAAGGGACCTAGCAATGGTGTGGTGGGTGTCCTCGGACTTCTGTTGTGGCCCTCCTTACTCTCGGTCTAGCCCCTGCATGGAAAGTGGGAACCTGTATTTTACGGAACTGCCTGGTAGAGGCATAAGTGTGGACTCTGGTCTGGCCTTGAAACGTGAACATGATCTGTATCCAGGTCTGGCAACCTAGACAAAGGGTGTTCAGGAAGGCCTGAAAGCTGCTGTTCTGAAGTAATGGTGTTGGGATGTGTCACATGGTCACCAGGAACCCTCAGGGCACCCTGGTTACAGGTGATCAGCAGGCGCTCCAGAAACTCGACATCCTGATCAACTAGGAATCTGCTCCATGATGCTGGGGATTTACCTCTGTACCCCTGGCACTTTATTTAATAGTCACACACAGGGTGGGTACACAGTGTATGTTCCTCACATTTAAACAGTGGAGGTGGTGGTCACCAAGAGACTAATGGCCACTGGATGCCGAGGCACTGAGGCAGTGACAATGGGCCGTGTTCTCCCTGATGCTCATCACCGTCCCTCAAGTAGACGGACCCCCCAAGTGTACCAGGACTTGCTGTAAGGCGATGTGTCACTGAAGGCCTAGGAGGTAGAAGGAGCTGAGCTTGCAGCTGCTCTGTACTGAGCAGACACCCACTCCAGGAAACAGGAGCCACAGGGCAAGCCCACCAGTCCCCGGAGGAGGCAGCACCTGAGCCCAGAACTAGGAAAGGCAGATGCTCAGGTGCTTGGAAGCTCCACTGGGGTCCGTCTGGATTCATGAGAGTCTCCTGTCTTGGCCTGTGTCTGGGGAGGGCTGGCCGGGCTCTCCGGGGGAGGCTGGGAGGAGAAGCAGCAGCAGCAGCAGACAGAGAGGAGCCGAGTCCGGACAGTTTGAGTGCAGAAGACGAACATGATGCAGTTGGCCCCTCCCTGGAATGTGTTCCCGATGCCCTGTCAGGGAGGAAGGAGGAGGCATGTGTCCAGGGCTGGAGCTGGACATAGGAAGCCAGGAAGCCCTGCTCACCCAGAACTCTCCCGACCCCAAGGCTGCCTTGCTGTGAGCAAGACCTCTTAGGTCTTCAGCCGGGCTCTAAGCAGGACTGGACTGCAGGTCTGGTACAGACCCAGGATCAGTCAACTCTTGCGAGGTTAATCCTAGATCACTGGAGAGCACCCCAGCCCTAGGGATATGCTAGAGCCTCAGGCATCTCACCTCTCCAAGAACCCCTCCAGAGATGCCCTCAGTGCACACAGGCTTAGGAGTTGCAGCAGAGATGAGTGCGCTGACTCATTGGGGCATGTCACTCTGTTTGGAGGAGGAGGCCTGACCCCACCGCAGCCAAGCAGCTGAGCTGGGAAGGTAGACCTACATGCAGAACAACCAGCACTGGCATGTGCATGGCTGGGGAGCCGCAGAGCGTCAGGATAAACCGCACGGTGCTCCACACTCTCAGGCAGATGAAGATGAGAGGGATGAGGATCAGCTTCTTATCTGCCACAGACATGCCGTGCTGCCGCTGGTGTGCGTCCGAGAGGATAGGCCGGTACTCGGAGAGAGCCTCGTGCTGTGTAGGGGGACACACAGGTTGGGTCTAAGCAGGCCTTTGACATAGTCTGAGAAGGGGAAGCCCAAATCGTAAGCACATACCCAGGTCTTTGTCACCAAGACAATATAACACCCCGGTGCTATCAAGTCAATTTCAACTCATAGCCATCCTAGGACCCAGCAGGACTGCTCCGTAGGATCGCTGAGACTGAATCTTTCTCCTGAGGAACAGCTGGTGGGTTTGAACAGCCAACACAGTTGTGGCTTGTTAAGTGTCAAAGAGTCGGTTCTGACTCACAGCAACCCTGTACAGGGTTTCCAAGGAAGGGGCTGGTGGGTTTGAACTGATGATCTTACAACTAGAAGTCCAGTGCTTATCCTACAGTGCCACATCTGCACACAGGTGAGTCTCAATTCAGGTCTCCAGGATGGGCCCTAGCCCTGGACTCCCGACTCACTGATACATCTGTTCACCCACATTTCTGTACACCTCACATTTCCCATATCCAAAACTGAGCGCCTGACCTTGACCACTAGCCCAGGGCACCCTTCTTGGTCTGAGCAAACCGGAACTCCATCCTTTCAGTTGCCCAGGCCACTAACTGGGAACCATCGTTAACTCTTCTCTCAGAGCCCACATCCAACCACAGGTAAGCTGGCCAGCGTGATCTTCAGCATAGACCTAAGCATCTGACACACCTGTCCATGGTGGCCATACCTCTTCTCTGGGTCACTGCCATCACTTCTTAACGGGTCTCCCTGCCTCACCCCTACCACCTGGCTCTCTTCCCACTCACCTAGTCTCAACTCAGAAACAGCATGGTTTATTTACAGCAGGTCTCAGCAAGTCAGTCCGCCGCCACCCAGGACCCTGCAAAGGCTCCTCTTTCCCAGGTTTCTTACAATCTTCCATAAGGGCCAACCCCACTCTAATTCCGACCTGATTCCTACCACTCTCCCTGTCTTCACTCTAGCCACACCTGTCTCCTTTTCCTCCCCAAACATGCCAAACACAGCCACACCTTAGGGCCGTTTGCATGGGCTGTTCCCTCGACCTGTCATGCTCTTCCACATGTTCTTCCACATTTATCTACCCAAGTGTTTACTCGAACACCACCTTTGCATTGAGGGCTATCCTGCAGCCCTATTTAAACAGCAGACACAGTTCCCAGTCACATCCCTTGTGTCCAGTTCCATAGCTGCGTCTCTGTTTTTCATAGTCCTTACCATCCTTTATCAAGGAGCTCTGGTAGCGTAGTGGTTAGGAATCGGACTGTGAACCTTAAGGTCAGCAGTTTGAAACTACCAGCTGCTCCGCGGGAGAAAGATGAGGCTTTCTGCTCCCGTTAAGATTCACAGTCTCAGACACCCTGTACATAGGTTCCTCGCTATGAGTCAGAACCGACTCGACAACACTTAACAACAAACCATCCTTTATCAGAACCTGACTAACATGTTTGTTTATTATGCTCATTGCATATTATCACCCACTGTCTCCAGAACGCAGACTCCCCAGCTGTGAAGAGAACATTGGTCCCCAAAGATAGCACCCTCAACCTTGGTCTTCCTTCCCCTGCACATGGGCAAGTCCTTCAGGGAGGGGAAGCAGGGAGTGTGTCTGGAGTTTAATAAAGAGATGGAACAACTCAAAACAAAGACACATTTTTGAACCTGGTCCATGTGTCTGGGACACTGGAGTCCAGGTGGGGAGGACCCCAGCCTGTCCAGCTGATACCTAATGTCCTGATGAACCAGATGCCCTGGCAGCCCTGAGCTCAAAGTGCCTGTCCCTCCTTTTCTCAGACCCTTTAGCAGCAGCCCAGAGAGCTGACGTCTGCCCCAGCCCCTTCACAACATAGTAAATAATAATAGTTCCTCATTTCCCTAGTGTTTTATAATGTCACTTTTGTTGCATATCAAGTTTCTACATACTAGTACATTTATTTCTGGATTCTCTATTTTCTTCTGTCTGTCTCTTATTTATGGCACTTAACAATAACAACAAAGTGATGGTTGATATCTGGCAGAGATAACTCTTCCACTTTGTATTTCTTTAAACTTTTATTGGCTATTTTTGGTCCTTCTATATGAGTTTTGAGATCCTGGTATGATGCTGTAGGGTAAGCACTGGACTGCTAACTTCAAGGTCAGTGGTTCAAACCCACCAGTTACTCCTTGGAAATCCTAAGTAGTAGGGTCTCTATAAACCAGAACTGACTTGACAGCACTTAACAACTTTATGATACTGAACCTTTATGATACTGAATCTTTATGATACTGAACCTTTATGATACTGAATCTTTATGATACTGAATCTTTATGATACTGAAACTGTATGATACTGAATCTTTATGATACTGAATCTTTCTTTCTGATACTGAATCTTTCTGATACTGAATCTTTCTGATACTGAATCTTTCTTTATGATACTGAATCTTTATGATACTGAAACTTTATGATACTGACTAGACAGCACAAACCATCTTTATGATACTAAATCTTTCTATCTATGAACAGGGTCCATGTGTCTGGGACACTGGAGTCCAGGTGGGGAGGACCCCAGCCTGTCCAGCTGATACCTAATGTTCTGATGAACCAGATGCCCTGGCATCCCTGAGCTCAAAGCGCCTGTCCCTCCTTTTCTCAGACCCTTTAGCAGCAGCCCAGAGAGCTGACGTCTGCCCCAGCCCCTTCACAACTGGCAGAGGGGTATATGGGGGCAGGTGGGGGAGTACCAGCTCGGGCTGCTAGGCTACTCTTCAAAGCCAAGCCTGCTCCCAGTTCATTTCTCTTTAGTTCTCCTTCCTGGTGAGTAGCAGGGAACAGTGCATACATTCTCACCTGCCCACTGTTACTAGGTGCTGCTAAGTCAATTTCAACTCATAGCATCCCCATGTGACAGTGTGGAACTTGGGTTTTCTAGACTGCCACAGAGCAGCTGGTAGGGTCAAACCACCAACCTTTCCCTTAGCAGCCTAGCACTCAACCACTGCATCACCAAGACTCCTTCCCTGCTCACTTTTAAGGTCCTGTTAAGCTCTTTTTTTCTTGCTGAGCTTAACAGGGAGCCAGCCTCATGATACGGCTCCCCACTTACCGCTTTCTGGGGGTTGGGGTGAAAAAGAAAACACACTCAAAAACGCACTTCCAGAGGCCAGTCTGGGCAGAGGCTGGCAGAGCTCCTGGAAGCCTGGAACCTTCGCCAGGCAGTGGACCAGTGGAATGGGACAGGGGACGAGCACGCTGGCCCAGTTCACCATGAAAAATTTGCAGGAAGTTAAGAGTGATTTCAGACCAGTTGCAAGTCCTGTTAGTAACACCAGCAGGAGGCTAGCACTGCAGGGCTGCACAGGGAGGAGGTTAGGTACCCTGACAGTCACAGACAACTGTCTGAAGGCGCATCCTCTGAATTCAGGAATTGTTGTTGTTAAGTGCAATGGAGTCAGTTCCGACCCATAGCGACCCTGTATAGGGTTTCCGAGGAGCGACTGGTAAACTCAAACCATCGACCACCCTTGCAGTTCAAACTGACTTTGCAGTCCAGCTCATTAACAGGGGATCCAAAAATACATCCTAAAAGACAGGACACACCCTCCTACAATTTCAGTCTCTGTAAACTCAGTCCTGGTGAGGTGCTGTAGGATAAGCACTCAACCACAAGGTCGGTTTGAACAGCAAGGTCGGTAGTTCAAACTCTCCAGCCACTCCTTGGAAACCCTATACATGATCTCTATGAGTCAGAACTGACTCCATGGCACTTAACAACAACAACAAACTCAGCAAATGAAATGGATGCTTACCAGCAAGCTGGCTGGACACTGAGCTGCTAAGTCCAGTTTAGAGCCTCCCAGTGGAACCTCTCTGCCCCAACCCCCACCTGCTGCCTTTGTTCTTTTATAATTTCTTTCCTATCTGCCTCTCTGGGAGGGCAGGACCCACATCTTTTGTGTTTTTGTATGAAGTCCAAACCAAAAAACCAAGCCCACTGCCACTGAGTCAGGTCCAACCCACAGTGACCCTATATAGGGTTCCCAAGGCTGTAAATCTTTATGGGAGCAGAAAGCCTCATCTTTCTCCCATGAAGTGGCTGGTGGGTTTGAACTGCTCACCTTGTGGTTAGCAGTCCAGCACATATCCTACAGCACACTAGGGCTCCTTTTGTACACGGCAGATGCTCAACAAAAATGTGTCAAATGACTGACCAGGTAGAACAATGGGTGGGATAAATGGAGGTCTTTTTGGTAGTCATTTGCTTGTGATTAAAAGGAAACCCAAACTGCAAGGAACAATCTGTCCACTGACAGCCCAGACTATGGATCTATGAATTCCTGGGTGTCTGAAAATTTACCATTTTTTAAAAACTAGCTGCTGTCTAGTCAATTTCTTCTTTGATTCACAGAGTTTTCAGTGGCTGATTTTTCTGAAGTAGATCACCAGACTTTTCTTCTGAGGCACCTCAGGGTGAATTAAAACTCCAAACTTTTTGTTAGCAGCCAAGTGCATTAATATTTGCATAGCTCTGGTAGAGTAGTGGTTACGAATCGGGCTGCAAACCGCAAGGTCAGCAGTTCGAAACTACCAGCTGTTCCATGGGAGAAAGATGAGGCTTTCTGTTCCTGTAAAGATTTATAGCCTTGGAAACACTGTACAGGGTAGCTATGAGTCAGAACCGACTCCACGGCACATAACCACCAACAACCATTTATTACTTAATTTTAATGATCAAGGATAGTTTGGGAGCATGGTGGCTCTTTAGGATAAGCACTGGACTGCAAACCACAAGTTTGGCAGTTTGAGTTCACCAGCCGCTCTTGGAGTGGGTGTTTGGGGGAACTGGGGGAATGAGGTTTTCTGTTCCCACAAAGAGTTACAACCCCTTTCGGAAACCCTGTACAGGGCTGCTCTGAGTCAGAACCAACTCCAAAGCACTTCATATCATCAATGATAGGCCGGATGAGACACTTGCATTGCTGATTATAATATTCCAAGGTCTGCCCACCCTTAAATATTCTCACCTTTCATCTAAATTCCTTTCAAGTTGAAGGCAACCACCTCTGTCTGTCCACCAAGAGGCAGTAGAGGGCTGCAGCTAAGCACACAGGATCTCACAAAGTAGCTCTTCCCTACAGCTGTGGGAGTCTGGGCAGACCCAGTAGTCTGTGTAAAGTTCTCCACCTAAATGCAGGGATACCAGGACCCAGCTCCAGAGAGGGCTATGTTGTTAGCAAATGAGATGAGCTGTATAATAAAACGTGTGATCACTCGGGCCTGTTACTAGTTCTGTCCCCAGACACAGGTCCCGTCTCCCAGGGCAGCCGTAGGCACACCTACCGCCCTGTTGATGTGCTTCCTGATGAGGATGTAGATGACAGGCAGTGTGATGTAGGCCAGGATTTCCCACAGCTTCCCGGTCAACAGCATCCACAGGGCGCGGTCCTCGGCCTCCAGGTCGATCCAGCACCAGCCCACAGAAACATCCGAGGCATCATAGCCAATCTTCTTCAGCAAGACGGCAACCACAGTAATAACCAGCGGAACCCCCCAGCTGAGGAATAACAAGCAAAATAAAAGGGGGGTAGGAGGCACTGAGGCTTCCAGCAAAACCAAAAAACCAACCCAAACCAAATGCACTGCCACTTAGCATCGGGTTGGTTCTGACTCGTGACCCCATGCGTTACAGAGTAGAACTGGACTGCTCACGGTTTTCAAGGCTGTGGTACTTATGGAAACAGGCCGCCAAGATTTCTTCCACAATGCAGGTTGAACAGGTGTGGTTGTTAAGTGCCATCAAGCTAGCTCCAATCCATAGCGACCCTGTATAGGGTTTCCAAAGAGTGGCTGGTGAGTTTGAACTGCTGACCTTGTGGTTCCAACAGACCTTTCAGTCCAGTGTTTATCCCATAGCACTACATCAGGTTCATAGTTCAGTGTAAACCATTTACCCCACACAGAGACCTAGCAAAAAGCCAACCAGGGCAGAGAGAACCAGCAAGGGAGAGCCGTTCCCTCCAGTGCCTGTATCAGACAATGTCCCTGGAAAATTTTAAAGGGCAGGTGGCTTCAAGCTACTTACCCAGGAAGGCGGAGGTCTCGAGACTCCTCAGGAGACTCATGTCATCTGATTCCAGCTCAGCTCTGCCCAAGCCACCCATTTTCACAATGCCTGATAAGCGAGCTCTGGAGTGCTTGGTCTCCTGCCATGACACCTTCCCAACCCTCAGAGGCCTGGTTCTAACTCCTGGTTCACATTAGAACCTGTGGCATGCGGAGAGCTGGTTCTGTCCTGCATGCCAGGGAGCTGTACTCTGGCAGTCCCTGCTCATCCACACCTCAGGGGCTCTGACCAGTTCAGGTCTAAGGCTGCACACACTGCTTTGTGTGGTTTGGATGGAGAATTACAGGGCTCCATGTAAAGGAGCTCTGGTAGCATAGTGGTTATGAATCGGGCTGCGAACCTGAAGGTCAGCGGTTCAAAACTACCAGCAGCTCCGCGGGAGAAAGATGAGGCTTTCTCGACGGCACTTAACAACAACATGTACTTACAACATGGTCTAGAAGGGGGTTCATGGGCTATGGGTGGGTACAACCTCTTAGCCCTGAAGACTTCTCATCCTATGTGGAGGGGAAAAAACTGGCAGGGGCCTTGATGCATAAAGTCCAGGGCAGGGGGCCCCTTGGCCTTCTCCAAGGGCAGTGCTGGGCTCAACTTTCTGACTTCTACCCCACAACCTCCCAGCCAGGGTTAGGACAGAGCCCCAGGACCCTTCTCAGTGGTCCCCACAATGCTAGCTTAGCCAGCAGCAGCTGCCATCAAGTCATTCCAATTCATGGCAACCCCATGTGCATCCAAGGAGAACTGTGCTCCACAGAGTTTCCAGTAGCTGTTTATTCAAAAGCAGACCGCCAGACTTTTCTTCTGAGGCATCTCTGGGTGGACTCTAACCAGCCTTTTAGTTAGCAGCTGTTTGTCCAACCCAGAGACAATTTCCCAACAATGCGGTTGCTTCAGTGGTAGAATTCACACCTTTCTTGAGGAAGATCCAGGTTCGACTCCTGGCCAGTGTACCTCAGGTACAGCCACCACCCACCTACTTGTCAATCAAGGTGTCAGCAGAGCTTCAAGAAAGATCTGGCAAACTACGTCTGAAAATTAGTCAATGAAAACCCTATGGATTACCACAGTATGACCTAGAACCATTCACAGGGACAGCACAGGCCCAGGCAGCATGTTCCTTTGTGCCTTGAGTCTCCTCCTTCACTGGTCTGGTGGACAAACACAAACTCTGTTTGCTGTTGTTCTTAGGTGCCACTGAGTCAGTACCAACTCATAGCGACCCTATGCATGACAGAATGAAACATTGCCCGGTTCTGCGCCAACCTCATAATCATTGCTATGTGTAAATTCATTGCTGCTGCCACAGTGCCAAGCCATCTCAATGAGGGTTTTCCTCGACCCTCCACTTTACCAAACACGATATCCGTCTCCAGAGACTGGTTTCTCCTGATAATATGTCCAAATCTGGCCATCTTGGCTTCCAAGAAGCTTTCTAGTTGTACTTCTTCCAACACAAATAGATTTTTTTCTTTTGATAGTCCATGCTACTTTTAATATTCTCCTCTAACACCATTAGGAGCTCTGGTAGTGCAGTGGTTATGAATCGGGCTGCAAACCGCAAGGTCAGCAGTTCGAAACTACCAGTTGTTCCATGGGAGATAAATGATGCATTCTGCTCCCATAAAGATTTATAGCCTTGGAAAGTCTGTAAAGGGTCACTATGAGTTGTAACTGACTCCACAGCATATAACCACCACCAACACAATAGCTCAAATGCATCAATTCTTCTATGGTCTTCCTTATTTACTGTACAGCTTTCACATGCATGTAAGGCTATTGAACCAAAACTAACATCCCTTGTTCTATGTCCTCTTCTGAATCCAGCTCGAACCTCTGGAAGTTCTCTGCCAGTGTATGCTTGCAACTGTTTCTAGATTAGCTTTAGTAAAACTTTACTCGCATGGGATAACAATGATATTGTCCGATGATGTCCACATTCCATTGGGTCACCTCTCTTTGGAATGGGCACAAATACAATCTCTTCCAATCAATTGACCAGATAGTTCTCTTCCAAATTTGTTGGCATAGATGAGTGAGTGCCTCCTGTGCCGCCTCACTTTCTTGTGAATTATGTGATAGTTTACATGGGAAAACATTAGTTTTACATTCATCCTATTGTATATCATTTCATTGCCATGGTTACAATCACAATCCCCTCCATGCATCATCAACCAACCAAAGGGTATACCCTGCAAGCTTGCCTCCTGGTCATCAGCACACAGTCCCTCTCCCTCTCTGGGTCTAGAGTCCCCAGCCACTCAATCTCTCCACATCATCGTCTCTGCCCCCATCTTTGGCGTCACTGCTTCTCTGGGTATGGTCTCGCACTCCACTCTTGCTTCCATCTTCTTTCAATGCATTCTGCATCATTCAATAATTTGCCCAGAGAATCCTTCAATAACGAAAGTTGAGGCTTGAATTTTTTCTTCAGTTCCCCCAGCTTGAGAAAT